GAGGCAATCTGAGAGAGATTAGTGACTGCAAAGTGGTGGTAGGAGAAAGTGTAGCCAGACAGCATCGGATGGTGGTGTGTAGGATGACTCTGATGGTCAGGAAGAAGAGGAGAGGAAAGACAGAAAAGAAGACCAAGTGGTGGAAGTTGCAAAAGAAAGAATGACGTGAGGAATTTAGACAGAAGTTGAGACAGGCTTTGGGTGGTCAGGAAGAACTTCCAGATGACTGGGAAACTACAACAGAAGCGATCAGGGAGACAGGTAGGAAGGTGCTAGGTGTGTCATCTGGAAGGAGGAAAGAAGATGAAGCATGGTGGTGGAACGAGGAAGTACAGGACAGCATTCAGAGGAAGAGGCTAGCTAAAAGGAAGTGGGATGTGGAAAGGACTGAAGACAGTAGACAGGATTACAAGAAATTGCAGCGTACAGTGACGAGGGAGGTGGCAATGGCCAAACAGAAAGCATATGATGAGTTGTATGCCAGGTTAGACACGAGGGAAGGTGAGAAGGACTTGTACAGAGTAGTGAAACAGAGAGACAGAGATGGGAAGGATGTGCAACAGATAAGGGCGATTAAAGACAGAGATGGAAAGGTGCTAACAAGGGAGGACAGTGTGCAGAGAAGATGGAACGAGTATTTTGAGGAACTGATGAATGAGGAAAATGAGAGGGAAAGAAGGGGGGAAGAGGTGAATATTGTACAGCAGGAAGTAGTATAGATTAGAAAGAATGAGGTGAGGAAGGCTCTGAGGAGAATGAAGAGTGGAAAGGCTATTGGTCCAGATGACATAAGTGTAGAGGCGTGGAAGTGTCTAGGAGAGACAGCAGTGGACTTTCTATCTAGTTTGTTCAACATTTTAGAGAGTGAGAAAATGCCTGAGGAATGGAGGAGAAGCGTACTAGTGCCGATCTTTAAGATCAAGGGTGAAGTGCAGAGTTGTAGCAACTACAGAGGTATAAAGTTGATGAGCCACACAATGAAGCTATGGGAAAGAGCAGTGGAAGCTAGGCTAAGAAAGGAAGTGGATATCTGTGAGCAGCAATACGGCTTCATCCCCAGAAAGAGCATTACTGATGCAATTTTTGCTCTGAGAATGTTAATGGAGAAATATGGAGATGGGCGGAAGGAGCTGCATTGCGTCTTTGTGGATTTAGAGAAAGC